TAATAATTTTAATAATAATTATAATAATAATAATAATAATAATAATAATAATAATAATAATAATAATAATAATAATAATAAATAATAATATTAAAAAAAACTTTGTAATAAGTACACAATGGAGAAAAAAAAATTTATAAAAAATAAAATAAATAATAATATATAATAAACAACAATATATGATTTTTATAAAATGAAGTAAAATTAGCGCGTGCTTTGACGCTTGTCATTTATCTTTTTTTTTTCTTCATCTTCTTCTTCTTTTTGGAAGTTAATTCTTTTTATTGAAGGTGGAAATCGAGTAGAAGAATAAAGCCAAATGATTTTCCTCCTATTGAGTATATAACACTAAAGGACGAAAAGTTACTCCCGATCTGAGAGGCTTTCAGGAAGTAAAAATCCTCTTGAGATTCGACGTGGTTGTTGAACACAAAGTTCATTTCTCTTTTTCTTCTCTTTTTTTTTTAACCGCGTCCATTTCGAAGTGAATTATCCACTATGTTTCAAATGCCATGGCTTCACAATATGTATCAACCTATATATATATATATATATATATATATATATATATATATATATATATATATATATATATATATAATATATATATATTCCATCTTATTGTGTCTCAAACATTCCATACTGTATTTTTTACAGAAATTATTTTTTTTATTATTTATTTATATATTTTTATTATGTATTTATATTATTTTTTTTATAATTATCTGGTTTAAATATGTGAAAAATTACCTTTTTATTAATAAAAATAAAAAATTAATTTCATTTGAATTTTATATATAGTTTTTTTTTTTTACGAGGAAGTAAAATTTTTTTTAACATTGTTATTTGTAACTCGGGACTTGAATTTTTATGTTTCAAAAATTGTTTCCTAAAATAATTGGAATTCTGTTTTATTCTTCTTCTTTTTTTTTTTTTATTAAATATTTCTTTCCAATAAAAAAAAAAAGAAAAGATTTCATATAGTGGATATTATGTTTCGTGACTGAGTTTGAAGAAACGATTTGATTAACTTTTTCGTCCGTCCACTTCCTCCTTAAGCTTGATTGATGAATGATGATGCATTGAACTTTCTTGATTATTGTTATATATAAAAAAAAAAAAAACTTTGTTCTTACCTGACAAATATAAAAATTTACATTCATCTTAGTTTATCAATTTTACTCTCTATTAAATTTTCTAAATTAGTAAAAATTATTCGATATAAAAAAAAAAATTCGATATTGGATTAAAAATTTAATGAAAAATTTTTTTTTTAAAGAAATTTTCATGAAATTTTTAAAATTAAAAAAAAAAATTTTCGTTTTTCTATATATGCAAAGTTGACGCCAATGCTTGCGATAGTAAATTGTATGAGAAAGATAGTGAGAGATTTGAGAGAAAGAGAAGAGAGAGAGAGTCACTCGAGTGATAAGGAAGTAACAAATTGTCTAGACTATGTGTCCTTCTCCGGAACATATAAACGCGGGCGTTTCGTAAGTGAGGTAGTTCAATGCACTTGTACTCGCACACTTATACTACAAATAATTTTTAGAAACAAACATATATATTGCAAAAAATTTATTATATTCAAATTAAGTAGAAAAAATTTTTTTTGTACTCCGAAAAAAAAATTTATTTAATTAATAAAACTAATATTAATTAATTAAGTAATTATCAATTTCTAATTACCTATTAATAACTATAACAATAATAATAATAATAATAATAGTAATAATAATTATTATTATTATTATTATTATTATTATTTAATACAAATAAATATTTATTTATAAATAGTCAAGTAACTGATTATTATTTGAATCAATTTCTCTTTTCAGTACACGCAAAAAAATTTTCACCAAGATCAGCGATATGTTTCCCTAAAATAGCGAAAGTTTTCGCTATTCTAGAGAAATATATCGCTGATCCAGAGAAACTTATCACTATTACAGGTGAAGATTTTTTTTGCGTGTATAGAATACATTTTTTTTCAGTGTAAAATTTTGTTTACAAAAAATTTTGATTTTTCTATAATAAACTTTATTTTATCATCTAAATAAATAAATAATAATAAAATAATAGTATTAAATTTTGAAAAAAATATGATAATGATTAAAAAATAAGAATCGTATATATATATGTATATTCATCTTGATATTGACGAAAAAAGAAAATGCGAACGTAACCATTTTATGAAATTGCGGTTTTCAGCACTTGGTAGAAGTACATATTGACTAAGCGATTCAAAAAAAAAAAAAAAAAAAAAAAAATTGAGAGAGAGAGAGAGAACAAGTAGGGGATAAAAGAGAGGAAGCCACAAAGGCCTTATTACTTACGATCAGAGTGTGTCCAACTCTCAGCTCGTTTTATACAATCTACATAATGGTGGATACTGCATCGGCGCGACTCTGGTGTGGATTCTGATGCTGAGTAGGTGGAATATTATGAATGATGTATGTTGTCCCGGATTTATGACTACCCATTATGATGGCGATTAATAATCCCTCGCGTTGGTTCTACAGTCCTTAATGCTATATACAAAAAAAAAAAAAAAGAAACGAAAAAAAACAAAATAAAAAACAAAAGAAAGAAAAATACATTTTGAAATATAAAAACAGAATCTTTTCAGAATTTAGCAGAATTATTATCGGCGCCACTTAATCTCTCTCTCTCTCTCTCTCATCTTTTTTAATCTAGAAATTATTTGCTTTCAGGATTTATTTTTCGGTGCTTTTAGGGCGTATAATTATTCCTCTAAAATAATCATAATTTAGAATTTTCATTTTAAAGAATTCTCTATATAATTATTTTTTTACACGAATTTTCATTTTTTTAAATTAGCGCTTTAATAGAAAATTTTTTTTTTTAAACAAATTCTGTAAAATAAAAATTTTGCCAAATAAGTTACCTTAAAATTGTGCTAAATTAAAATTCGGTTAAAAAAAAATACATTCTGTTAACTGCTCACTGAAAATTAAAAGGAATTAAAATAAGCTGCAACGCTTCTTAATTTAATCGAATTTTGCTTATTTTAATCCATTTTGGTATTAAAATAAGCAAAATTGGATTAAAATAATAAGCGTTGCAGCTTATTTTAATACCTTATAATTTTCTGTGCTAATTTGAAAAATAAAAAATTTATCATAAAATTATCAAATAAAATTCTTTAAATTGAAAATTCTAATTATTTTTATAGAATAATCATATTTTTTCAAATCTTTTTTGCCATAAGAAATGTATTTTGGAATGAGCTGAAAGTTTTGAACGTTCATATGAACGAAATATTTTTTCAATCTATAAATTATTAAAAGTTATGATGACCATGCAAAATAAAACAGTAAATTAAACAATTATTAAATTAATAACATCTTTTTAGATATTTTAAACAATATTTTGTAATAAAATTTGTACTTAAAGAAGTTGAAAAAAAAATTTCGTTCATATGAACGTTCAAAACTTTTGGCTCATATTTTGGAGGTAAATTATAATTTTCGATAATTAGAAAAGAAAATTGTGATTTATGTTTTATAAAAGGTTTCATATTCCATTTACATAATTCATAATATGTAAAATTCTGATCGCAAATTGTGTTTTATGATTCGATGGTATTGAATGGAAAATATATATATATATAATATAATCCGCTCTCATTGTGCTTAATGTATATATATATATATATATATCTAGGGAAACTATAATTATAGTTGAAATTATAATACAGCATAACATGGTTAAATTCACACGAAAGGCTTCATTGTATTGTGAAATTTTGCTTGATTACGCAGGATCATCAGTGCCATGTTAATATATATAGTTATCATCATCAACATCCACAATTGCTTTTTGAATAAAACGTGTCTCTCATCAATGATAGTAGATTAATCGTCGGGACTTTATGACTCATTGTTCTCAGATTCTCACTAATTAACCGCATGTTATTTCTCCAGGTGTATTGAGATGCTTCCAACTATATATATATATATATATATATATATATATATTGTCTAGCTCAGTTCCGAAGTTGAATATATCGGAGGTGAATTTTGATGCTATAGACATCATCAAAACTTGGTTCCAATGATAGTTTGTCAGGGGAGAGAAACCTTATGCTAAGGATCCTTATAAGCTATACGAGACACGGATCCACTAATTGGAAATACGAAGATATATAAATAGAGATTGAAGTTTCATAATTCATCCAAGATATAAATGCATCACGATTTTTTTTTTTTTTTGAAACAAAATTAATTATTCAAAATTATTAATATTTTTATTACATTGAAATATTTTTTATTTTTATTATAATAAAATATTTCGTATATTTTTATTATATTACACATTTTTTTAATTTTTATTACACTGAAATAAAAATTTATTTAATTCAAATAATCGATTACTTGACTGCTATCAAATAAATGTTTATTTAAATTAAATAATTATTTTTTGAGTCAAATGATATTTGATTCAAATACAATTTATTTAATTGAAATAATAATAGTAATAATAAATAATAATAATTATTATTTGGTTCAAGTAAATATTTATTTGATATTAGTCAAGTAACCGATTACTTGAATCAAATAATTTTTTTTATCAGTCTACTATTTAAAAATTTAATTATTTACTTTATTTGTTTATTTTAATTATTTATTATTTATTATTTATTTTGTTAATTAATACCCTCCTAACGCTCTTTTTTTTTTGTTTAATGGAAAAAGAAACTTCAAAAGAAGGAAACAATTTTTAAAAGTATTGATGGAATTTGAAGTTTGAATATGTACTCCCGCGTCCACTTCATTATAAGTTTAAAATTACTTTTTATATATATAGATTTACACAGAATTAATCATTTGATATATATAATATATAGGTCAAAAAAAAAATTTAGATATTCATAATTATTAAAACTGACTTTTTAAAAATTTTAATACTTTTTTATTTTTCATAAATTGTTTTGAATGTATTTTAATAAAGAAAAATTTTTTTTTCTTCTGTTGCAGGTATATTAATTGTTAAGAGGAAAATATCTTCTATATAGTCGCTTTGAGATGAAATTTAAATTAGAATAAAATTGATGCTCATGAACCGCATTGTGTAAGTAATCTTGCTTTGTCTTGAAAGGTTTTATTATTTATACAAGTTATTTATAATATTTATAGAAACAAAAGCGAAAATAATAAAAGATTTTGCAGAAATTTTCCAACTAATAAATGTATTATATTATTTTTATAATAATTAATAGAAAATTAATAATTTAATAAAAAAAAATTATTTAATTTTTCATTTTTAGAAAAAATTATAATTTATTTTACTTTTTCATAAATTAATCATTATTATAATATTGTATACGCGTTTTTCAATTTTTTTTCCTTACAGATGATAAATATAGAAAATAATTTTTCACAAACCAAAAATATATATATATATATATGCTTATTCAATTATTCTATTTTACATGTTTGCTTTTGGGGAGATTATTAAACAATTTAACTAAAGTGTTGCGGGTTTCTCTGATCTTGAATTTCCCTACTCATATATAAATGACAGTGAAAGCTCTTTAAGCTTTGAACGAATTCCCCAGAGATGGGAATAAAATTTCCATTGAATATAATTATATCTGTGGTGTATTTTTCGGGGTATATATATATATATATATATATAGAGGAAAAGGGAACAGGAAAATCGTTGAAAAATTTTCGTTTAAATTAATTTCACGAGAATAAAATAAAATAAAAAATTGCTTTTGGTAGCGTTATCAAATGCTTTATATAGATATTCCCTATATTCAGCTTTTAACATTTTGTTCACAATTTATTTCTGCATCATCGACTTCTTGTGTAGGGCAGGAAAGTAAAGCTATATACCAATCGATAGGTTGAGGGTTTATCCAGCCTCGATCGATTGGTTCTCCAATAATTTGTAATCAACTTTCTACTTCAAATTAAATTTAAACTTTCTAAATCTTATTATATATATATATATATATATATATATATATATATATATATACATTATTATTATTCAGGTTAAAAAGTTTCCAAGTTGCAAGCTGACATCAAATAAGAAATAATTAAAGAAAAACTACACAAGTCAAAGTAAATTCATTAATAAGATGAAAATGTTTCTAATTAATTATTTTTTTGTTATAAAAAAGATATGTTTCTTTTTGATTTTGAATTATGAAATTTAATTAATTAATTTATTCCACTTATCTTAATTCAACTTAATTATATTTTAGGCAAAAGAAAGTGAAACTTTTTTTTTTTTGTAATAAAAATAATTGACAAGAAAAGTTTGACTAATTGCAAGCATGAGCCACATTCTTATAAGCTATAACAAAGTAAAACGTATATATATATATCTCAAGAATGAAATTTTCCAAACTTTCTTTCGAAACTAATATTTCCCAGAGCACATGATATTCCCTTTGAGCTTCACAAGTTTTCCTTTCAATAATAATTATAGATATAATAAAATTTATGCGTCTATTATTTTATCAATTTAAATTAAAAATTATATATATTTTTTATGTATAATTTTTTTATAAAGATAAAATTTATATATATATATATATATATATAATTAATATAAAATGAACTGTAATTTAGAGTTAATAATAAATTGTAATTTAATTTGTAATTGTATTTATAAAAATTACCAAAATTATCCAAAGCGATGAGTGGAAAACTTAGAAAACTAGTTTAATGAATCTTAGAAAAGCCTTCTTGTTTTTGAACCAGGTGTGTGTGTGTGTGCCTTTTAAGATCTAATTGAATATTAATTCAAGCACTTTCATCTTAAATTTGGTTGCAAAAGTTACCAAGAACTATTCTCGTTTTCTAGGAAAATATTTAGGTAAATTCGTTTAAAAAAAAAAAAAAAACGTTAAAAAATGTTAATGTTTTTAAAAAATAAAAAAAATTAAAAACTAAAAATTTATTTAAGTTTCAATGTTTTAAATTTGGAACTTAAATTTAATTTTTGTTTTAAACATTTCATTTGATATGGACTAAAAGTTATAAATTGCATACATATATATATATACACCAAAAAGCAGAATCGTGTGGTTTCCATGACAACACAGTCTACATATAAATTCTTAGATGCTTTTATGTTACCTTTGACCCGGAGAAATCTCAAGAATCCTCGTGTTTTAAAAGTCTACTTTCTGCAAATAAATTTTCTTCCTCATTAGTAAAATTTTTTTCATATTTTTCTTTTTTTGGAAAAAATCATTTTTTTTCCCGTCAATTTTCTTTCTATATATAATTTTATATGCGTTTAATATAATAGAGGTATTTTTTTTCCCCCCACAATGAGGAGATTAAGTAGAATAAACCATTTGTGGTCAGACATATGTCAGTATTTATGTATTAGGGCAAACTTACTCTCCTTTAAAGAGTAAATGATATCGATTACATTTTTAAAAAGCAAATAATTATTATTCTCACCGGTATTATTTTAATAACAATATATGATTAATTCTGATAGTTTCAATTTGAAAATTCAAAATTAGAAAATTGAAAATTTTATGGAATATTAAAATTAATTTAAATATTTTTAAAAGAGATCTAATTAGGAAAGAATTTTTAAAACTGTAAAATGTTCAAAGCAGCATAAGAAGAGTCTTATTTAAACACTAGATTTGACGCTAAATCAACATGGAACAAAATTTATACTACGAAATGTTGCTTTAGCACTTGAAAAATAAAAATTGTGTCGTTTCTTTATTTTCATGAAATTTTCTAATTTTCCTTTCTTAAAATATAACATTATATTTATTATGCAAAATTTATTCAATTTTTACGTATATATTACAATAAACTATATTAGAATAATATAATTATAATAAATTATACTTTATTACATAATTATTTATATTATTGTATAATTATATAATAATTAAATAATTATTAAATAATGATTTTATATAAATATAATTATTATATAATAAACTATATTATAATATAATTATAATAAAATATATTATAGTAAAAATTATTATAATCAACAAATTGTGTATAAAAAAGTAAATTGTTTGAAAAAAAAAATTTTTTTTTGTGAAAAATTCATATATTTAGGAAACAAAAATTTTATGCGAATAAATGAATACAATGCCAAGGAAAAAAAAAAGAAAAGGCTCAGTAATTTCGGACTTGTAACGTGATTGTGCGACACTTAATTTGATAAATTAACCTCTGGTCCCGGTTGGCAGAAGGGGCCCATATCCAGAGGGCAGCAGGAAATCTCTTCAATCGCGTCTAGTTAACACGCATTTGTTTTCTTTCTTTGAATTCGAGAATATAACTTCCGCGCCATGAACAAAGTTTATTTAGAAAAAAAAAAAAAAAATAAATAAATAAAAACAGATTTCTAAAAACTGAAAATTGTCCATAAATTTTTATTTTTTCAAAAACTGATTCTAATACACACGTTGCATGATTTCACATTATCGAAGCGTAAGTGCTTCAAATATCTAATTAATTACGCAGTGTCAATCAAATTGTAATTAACTGAACCGCGAAATAGGTCCATTGAATTCAATTACGAAACGCATATATATATATATATATATATATATATATATATATATATATATATTTATATATCATTCCATACAATTGATTTATTATTAAATTGTATCTATATTCTTTTTTTTATTATTTGAATAATAAAAAATATTTTCTAAACCCACTTGGAAAGATTCCCCGGAAAGTGCCCCCTGGAGGTTCTATCAGAATTCCGCCGGAACTTCCAACGTAATTCCGTCGGAATTCCATCGGAGTTCCAAAGAATTTTCGATGGGATTCCAACGGAATTCCGATTAATTTTTTCAAAATTTTTAGAGTCCTAATTCCGTTGGAATCCCATCGGAAATTCTTTGGAACTTCGATGGAATTCCGACGGAATTACTTTGGAAGTTTCGGCGGAATTCTGATAGAACCTCCAGGGGGCATTTTCCGGGGAATCTTTCCAAGTAGGCATCGTAACAAAAAGAGATATTTGTTTTTTTTTTTTTTCAAAATAACAAAAAAGATATAATAAACGAGCATATCAACTATGGGTGTTTTCTGAACTTAAAAATTCGTAGAAAGCAAAACGTCTATCGCGTGGGTCTAATTATCAGTGCAACGAACTTTAGATTTTAAATTTAGATTTAATATTCATTTTTCTTCTACTATATATATAAATATATATATATGGCAATAATGTATACAAATATATTAATTTATCATTAATATTAAATGTCTGGAAATTATTGGAATTTGACTTGCTCCATTAGAAATTATATCATGGATATACGAGAGTCAAATCGGAAAATTTGGTTGGAATACGATGCAATTTGCAAATAATTTAAAACCGTCAATATATTTGCGTATAGCATACCTACAAATAAGTTAAAATAAATAAGAATGTAAATTTTAATATATGTTAAAATTCTTTTCACTTATTAAAAACAAAAAAATAATTATTATATCACTGAAACAAAAAAATTTATTTAATTCAAGTAATCGTTTACTATTATCAAATATATATATATTTGTATTAAATAATTTTTATTTGTATGAAATAAATATTTATTTGTATTAATTAAACATTTTGTATCAAGTAAATATATTTATTTGCCAAATTAATATTTATTTGGACCAGATAATTTTTATTTGTATCAAAATAATTATTATTCGAGTCAATTAAAATTTATTTATTTGTAAATATAAAAATTATTTATTCGACTACAAATTTATCTCATGTAAATAAATATTTATTTGGAGCAAATAAATATTTATTTATATAAATTAAATATTTATTTCCATCAAATCATTATATTATTTGAGTCAATTAAAAAAATACAAAAATTATTAATTCGACTACAGTTTATTCGATATAAAAAAAAAAAAAAAAAAAAAAAAAATTATCTGGTCCAAATAAATATTTATTTATATCAATTAAATATTTATTTGTATCAAATTTATTTGAGTAAAAAGTTATTTATATTTTAAATACAAAAAATTTATTGGATTTTTATTTAAATCAAATAAAAATTATCTGATCTAAAGAAATATTTATTTGCTAATAAATAATCGATTATTTTA